CAGTATAACTCCCTAAAAAAACATCAGTATAACTCCCTAAAAAACATTTTCCTCCTGTAAAATATATATATTTTTCAAATTTAAGACTGAAATCTGTTCATAATCAGAGGCGAGTCGTCGGGTTCTTGGACCCGGGCCGTTGGGCCTGTCTGAGCGACAGGAGAGTGACAGGCGTCTGGCACTGGGCTCCCGGTAGGTCTGGAGCTTCCAGCGGCTTCATCTATCTCTTTCTCTCACTCCACGGTCGAATGACATGATGGAGAGACACAAAGTGAGGCGGACGAGGCTGAGCCTCCGAGATAATTACAGTCTCTGCAGGTTCCTCCTCTGATCTCACAAAGAGCCGGAGAGAGGAGAGAGCCACCAAAGGGGCGAGGCGGCAGGTGGTACGCTTCATTACATCTTATTAAAACAGCAGCACATTGTTCAGGCTGGACTGGTGCCGAGCGCAGGTTCTGTCAGGGAAAGGCCAGAGCCATTCAAATCCTTTAATAATGATCTCAACACAGAAACACGTTTAATCACAGCTGAGTGGAAATGTTACAGCAAACAGCTGTTTATAACAGACAAACAGAATACAGCTGTGTTCATGACTTTTAACGTCTCCACTGAAAACCATCATGGACTGATGGGTTTACTCATGTCTCTGTATGTGGGGACAGTTAGCAACTTTCAGAAACCATCAGAAACCAGTCACTGAGTCATTTGTACTCAGCCCAAAACAAGATGGTTGCCACAGCCAACCTATTTTCTATCCATCCATCCATTATCTTTACTCTCCTCTTGTTTTTTGGGTCCCGGGGGTCAACAGTGCCCATATCCAGCAGTTACAGTGTGAGGCGGGGGACACCCTGGACAGGCCTCAGTCCATCACAGGGACACCTGGACATGTCTCCAGTCCATCACTGGGACACCTGGAGACAACCATTTACTCTCTCTCTCACCTAGGGACAGTTCAGAGTTACCAATCAACCTAACATGCATGTTTTTGGTCTGTGGGAGGAAACCCGAGTACCCGGAGAAAACTCATGCAGCACAGAGAGAACATGCAAACTCCACCCAGAAAGATCCCCGGCCGGGATTTGAACCGGAGGGACCTGCTCGCTGAGAGGCGGCAGCTCTACCAACTGCGCCACCGTGCCGACCTGTTTCCCGTGCTCCTCAGACACCTTACCAGGGACAGACCCCTCTAACCCTCCTCGATGGGAGTGTTTTAACACCTCCACCATGTTAGGGGGTGTTCAGTAACAACCCCACACTGTGGAGTGTGGATGTGAGACAAATCATGTGTGAGGTTATTATCAGAGGCTGAACCTGATAAATCTAAAAACAACAACTCCCACGTTTGATCTTCAGCAGCATCAAAGTGAATTCAGCAGAGAACAGCTCTTCCTGACTGTTTGTGTGTTTGCAGCTGCAAACAGAAGCTGTACGCAGAGAGGCTGCCCAACACCAGCATCATCATCCCGTTTCACAACGAGGGCTGGTCGTCGCTGCTGAGGACGGTCCACAGCGTGCTCAACCGCTCGCCTCCACAGCTCATCGCAGAGATCGTCCTGGTCGACGACTTCAGCGACAAAGGTACACACACACACACACACACACGCACTTCAGCTCAGCTGCTGTCTGGGATCTGCTGCTAATGTTTGCACCTCCAGCGGGCCGTGTTTTTATTTCCTCTGCACACCAACAGCTGCTCGCACTCACAAACCACTGAGTCATTCGTTTGCAGGGTTTGTTGACTGTTGCACGAATAATGATCTGCTCAGAAATGAAAGCACCACACTGCTGCTGCACAGACCCAGATGTGCTCTCAAGACACTCGCGGATGTTTTTCATAAACAAACGGGCAAAGAAGGAAAGCTCTCGCACGTCCAGTAATTTACAGATGAGTCGCTGGTTGAGAGGTGCGTCCCACAGGCCCGGCTGAGCGGACGCTTCTTACACAAGATCAGAGAAACGCAGTGTTTTCTGAGTTCAGTGCTGAACTCTGAGATCTGTCAGTCCAGGTTCACGCTGGTTTCAGTGTTTAGGTTTTCACGTCGCTCACGGTCAACAAGTGATTGAGGATGATCACAAATGACGAGGTATAAAAACATCTGCTAATTTCATGCTACATGTTCCAAAAAAGTTTAAGACAAAAACAACTGGACTTTATTTGTAACCGAAGACGTTTCGTTTCTCATCCGAGAAGCTTCCTCAGTTCAAAGAACAGAGCGTGTGGGGTTCAGGTTATAAAGCTGAGATAAGATGCACACATACATATGCAGATTGACCTATTACACCTCACAGTAGGTTTTCCATCTTTAAACACCAGTCTCTGATGGAGACTTCTCCCAGTGAGCTGTGCTGTCAGGGTTTTCTGTATGGGGGAGGGGCAGTGGTGCGTTCGAAGCACCTGGGAAAAAATAAACTCTTAGTGAATGAGATGATTGAATCCAAAATTTATCCTTCATAGTTTTCACTAGAACCCAACCAATACGGAAATTTTGGCTATCGCCGTTACTGATATTGGGAGAGGGTTTAATGCCGACAACAAATATATTGGCTGAATTTTTTAATTAAACAGCTACTTTTAAACCTGTTTTAACACTTGAAGTCTTGAAACAGTTTTCCTAACATGCATTCACATTTTCTATCTTCCACTATTCACCAAGTTATTAAGTGTTTTACAAAAATAAAAATGAAACAAAGAAAAATCCTTCCCTGTTCATCGTTTAAACAGTCACGTATGGTAAAGGTCTAATTAGTATTGACCGCAGCAGCGTTTTTTTTTTTGTTTTCTTTTGCAGAGAAGTAAGGATTTCAGACGAAGGTGCATTTCATTGCTGACGACAAAGATAACGTTACTAACACTGATATACACAAAGTTTGTTTTCTCAGTCATCCAGGTATATAACAACAAAAAAGGTTGAATCATGTCATCTGGACTTCGTTTTTTTGTTAAAAAGAAACGTTTCGCCCCTCATCCAAGGCTTGAAACACAAGAGTCAGGGTGGCTTCTGGGTAATACCAGATGGCTAGGCCTCAGACTGACGAAGCCTCTTGGATGAGGGGCGAAACGTTTCTTTTTAACAAAAAAACGAAGTCCAGATGACATGATTCAACCTTTTTTGTTGTTAACACTGATATACTTTATCTCTACGTTAGATTTATTGTTCTGGGTAAAATTTTACAAGGCAGTCGCCTATGCTAGGTTATCTAAATGTTAGCTTGCTAACTTGTGGCACGTAGCTAATGACAAGCAGATTGGAGGATTGAAGATAATTTATTCTTGCTGATTTTTATTTTATTTTACATATCAGTTACAATAAATTACAATGATCTGTTCAGCAAAGTACACTGCACAGTATTGCTCGCGGCCTGGTTTGTGCTGAAAAGGAAACTTAAGTGAATGCTCTGCTGGATACATTGTACAATTACACCATTTGCATGTAAGGACACGACTTGTTCTCGGCATTTTAGGGGTGAAAATTAGAAGTGCATCGGGGCATAATGGGACAATTATCACTGATACCAATATGTCCCCAAACGCTTATATCGGACTAAAACATCGGTCCTGGTGACAAAGCAGTCGCGCTCTAGTTGTTTTAGTCATTTAAGATGTTGGAGGAGAAACAACTGTCGATATATCAAATCTATTTAATAGTTTGCCCGCCTCTATGGAATGATACTGCCATATACAGAGAGGAAAACGAGTATTTGAACACTCTGCGACTTTGTAAGTTCTCCCACGTAGAAATCATGGAGGGTCTGAAATGTTCATCTCAGGTGCATGTCCACTGTGAGAGACATGATCTAAAGAAAATTAAAAGAATCCAGAAATCACAAAGTATGATTTTTAAAATAATTTATTTGTGTGTTACTGCTGCAAATAAGTATTTGAACACCTGTGAACATCAATGTTAATATTTGGTACAGCATCTTTGTTTGCAGTTACAGAGGTCAAAGGTTTTCTGTAGTTCTTCACCAGGTTCACTGCAGCAGGATTCTGGTCCATTCCTCCACAGATCTTCTCTAGATCAACCAGGTTTCTGGGCTGTCACTAAGAAAGACGGAGTTTGAGCTCCCTCCAAAGATTTTCTATAGGGTTTAGGTCTGGAGACTGGCTAGACCACTCCAGAACCTTGATCTGCTTCTTACGGAGCCACTCCTTGGTTCTCCTGGCTGTGAGCTTCAGGTCATTGTCATGTTGGAAGACCCAGCCACGACCCATCTTCAATGCTCTGAGGGAAGGAGGTTGTTCCCCAGAATCTCACAACACATGGCCCTGGTCATCCTCTCCTTAATACAGTGCAGTCGTCCTGTAGAAAAACACCCCCAAAGCATGAAGCTTCCACCCCCATGCTTCACAGCAGGGATGGTGTTTTTGGGACGGTCATCATTCTTCGTCCTCCAAACACGACGAGTGGAATTAAGACCAAAACGTTCTATTTTGGTCTCATGTGACCTCAGAACTTTCTCCCATGACTCCTCTGGATCATCCAGATGGTCCTGGTCAAACTTCAGACGGGCCTGGACGTGTGCTGATTTAAGCAGGGGAACCTGTGCCATGCGTGATTTTAAACTATGACGTCTTAGTGTATTACCCACAGTAACCATGGAAACAGTGGTGCCAGCTCTCTTCAGGTCATGGTCCAGCTCCTCCGTGTAGTTCTGGGCTGATTCCTCTCCTTTCTTAGGATCACTGATACTCCACCAGGTGAGATCTTGCATGGAGCCCCAGTCCCAGGGAGATGGACAGTCATGTTTAGCTTCTTCCATTTTCTAATAATTGCTCCAACAGTTGATCTTTATTCACCGAGCTGCTTGGCAACTGCCCCGTAGATCTTTCCAGCCTTGTGGAGGTCTACAGTTTAGTCTCTGGTGTCTTTGGACAGCTCTTTGGTCTTAGCCATGTTAGTAGTTGGAGTCTCACTGACTGTGTGGGGTGGACCGGTGTCTTCATGCAGCTAACCACCTCAAACAGGTGCTTCTCATTTAGAATAAGAAGTGGAGGTGGACTAACAGGTCTTTGAGGTCCAGAATTGTTGCTGATTGGCAGGTGTTCAAATACTTATTTGCAGCAGTAACAAATAAATTATTAAAAAAATCATACATTGTGATTTCCAGATTTTTATTTGTTTTAGATTACGTCTCTCACAGTGAATATGCACCTGAGATGAACATTTCAGACCCTCCATGATTTCTAAGTGGGAGAACGTGCAAAGTCGCAGGGAGTTCAAATACTTTCTTATTTCCTCACCGTATAATCTGATTCCTCATTTTTAATCTGCATGTTTGAAAATCTTAATCTCATATAGTGTTAGTTAATCCAATCCAAAGTTAAACCTGAGTGTTTGTTTCTTGCAGCTGTTGTTTCTGTGATTTTCCTTCTGCCGCGGTGATTTTAACGTTTGTGAAAAGCTGCGCTTCACGCCACAACGAGCACACTGTACTCTTTAGTTTGCGCTTGTGTTTCTACGTGTCCACGAGCGTTTTAAAACCATCAGCTGGCACGTCTTGTGACCAGGTCTCACTTGTGAACGAGTCCTTGAGGCTCACTGTGATTTAACGATATTTATGAAGGTTGAATGAAAACCCTCTGCACCCAGTCTTCACTAGTGTTTCTAAATGTCAGACAGGAATCCAAATGGTTGACGAGTTTTAAATAATCTGGTGTAGAAAAAGGTGGGACAAAGTATAATTCCATGTTTCTACATGCAATTAAAAAAAATTGGCAATTAAAAAAACAACATTTAAACAAAAAATGTGCAGGAAGACTTGTCCACATGGAAAAGTCTAAATTTAAAAGCATCATTTTGACTCAGAGGAAACAATTTCTGGTGAAGTTCATGGAGGAGACGTGAACGCTGCTCGTCTTTCAGCTGAAAGATTTTTAAAGTTCTCGTTAGTGAATCAGTTTTCTGCTGCCTTCTTTACGTGCTGAACTTTCTCTGAACCTTTTATCTCTCGCTAGTTATTGTTATCTTTATTAATTTTTGATTAAACTCTGCGCTCGTCTAATCTTTGCTTTGGTATTTTCACGACTAGAGGAGCGAGCTGAAGGTCCGAGCAGGGCCTCGGGGCTCCTGCAGGTTTGGTGAAGCTGTGTTTCGATGGCGCGACCCTAGCGAGGTTAGGAGAAGAATAATAGAGTTTCTCTGCGTCGCAGCTTAATCGCTTTGAACTTTGGAGCCAAGCTGCAGCTTTGAACTCTTGCATAATAAATCAAGGGACAAGTGCAGCGTTATCAGCCGACCTGAGTGTCTGTGAGAAGAAGATATTCATCAGGAAGTTCGTCGCTGCTGCACCGTTCACAATTTCCTGTCCTCGTTTCATTTTCTTGGATATTAAAAAAACACTACAGTTTATAAAAAGGACTCTGAGCAGGAGAGTGTTTTTATTATTCAGGAATAAATTGCTGCTGTCAGCTGTTTCCTTCAGAGGTGCACACGCTGCTGCAGCCGAGCTCCACGCCCATATTTGTCACTTCCTGTCACGGTGATGAAAAGTCCCAGCCCGGCTGCAGGGCCCGCCGGCCCCCAGTGACCCCCATCCTGGTTTATTAATGGACACGGTTTTGTTTTGGTTCCTCACCG